GTTTTTGGAACAGATATACTGAAACATGGCATGGAGTTTAAATTCTTGCAATTCCTTTTTTCAAATTAGCGAAAGAAATATGTTCCCACTCTACACCACGATCAGGAATGTTTCTATGAATTGCCATGACCCTTTAACCCTTTGACTGTTTCAGCCGTATATATACATGCTACGTCTTACGAGCCAGTGTTTCGGATGTACATATACTCAATAATTCTAGCGGCTTCAAATCAAAGCAGGAGAAAGCTGGTAGGCCCACATGTGAGAGAATGGGTCTGTGTGGTCAGTGTGCACTGTGTAAAAAAAATCCTGCAGCACACAGTGCATAATGAGAAAAAACTAACTGTGTTTTTGGATTAAAATGCCGACTTTGAGGTACAGTGGACCCTCGAATTTAGTAGTGCCATTTCTGTATGCAAAACTATTTTTATCAATAAAATGTATTTTCTGTTATATTTTTGGGTGAATGGAATGGTTTAATTGGATTTACATTATTTCCTATGGGAAATATTAACAAAAAATACATTTTATAGATAATAAAAATAGTTTTGCATACAGAAATGGCACTACTAAATTCGAGGGTCCACTGTATATTTTCATATAGCATTTATGGTTGTACAGTGGAACCTCGCCTAACGAATGCATCGCATAACGTTAAATCCGCCTAGCGATACATTTTAACGCAAAAAATTTTGCCTTGGCTAGCGCTAAAAAACTCACTCAACGCAGTTCATTACGAGACACGTCCACGTGCGGCCTGAGCCCGCCTCACTTGTTCCATGGGTGCCAGTGTTTACAAGCCAGCCACAGCAGTCGCTTCCAAGCATACAATCGGAACATTTCATATTATCACAGCCTTTTTAGTGATTGCACCTGCAAAATAAGTCACCATGGGCCCCAAGAAAGCTTCTAGTGCCAACCCTACAGCAAAGAGTGAGAATTACTATGGATATGAAGAAAGAGATAATTGCTAAGTATGAAAGTGGAGTGCGTGTCTCCGAGCTGGCCAGGTTGAACACAAAGCTCCTATCAACCATCGCTACTATTGTGGCCAAGAAAACGGCAATCAAGGAAGCTGTTCTTGCCAAAGGTGCAACTTTGTTTTCGAAACAGAGATCGCAAGTGACAGAAGATGTTGAGAGACTGTTATTGGTGTGGATAAACGAAAAACAGATAGCAGGAGATAGCATCTCTCAAGCGATCATATGTGAAAAGGCTAGGAAGTTGCATGACGATTTAATCAGAAAAATGCCTGCAACTAGTGATGATGAAAGTGAATTTAAGGCCAGCATAGGTTGGTTTGAGAGATTTAAGAATCGTAGTGACATACATAGTGTGATAAGGCATGGTGAGGCTGCCAGTTCGGACCACAAAGCGGCTGAAAAATATGTGCAGGAATTCAAGGAGTACATAGACAGTGAAGGACAAACCTGAACAAGTGTTTAATTGTGACGAAACAGACCTGTTTTGGAAGAAAATACCAAACAGGACGTACATTACTCAGGAGGAAAAGGCACTCCCAGGACATAAGCCTATGAAAGACAGGCTTACTCTGTTGATGTGTGCCAATGCTAGTGGTGATTGCAAAGTGAAGCCTTTATTGGTGTATCACTCTGAAACTCCCAGTGTTCAGGAAAAACAATGTCCTCAAGGCTAATTTGTGTGTGCTGTGGAGAGCAAACAGTAAGGCATGGGTCACTAGGGACTTTTCCCATGACTGGTTACACCATGCATTTGCCCCCACTGTGAAAAATTACCGAATTGAAAAGAAATTAGACCTTAAGTGCCTCCTGGTATTAGACAATGTTCCTGGTCATCCTTCAGACGTGGCAGAGCGACTTTCTGCGGAAATGAGCTTCATTAAGGTCAAGTTTTTGCCTCTTAATACCACTCCTCTCCTGCAGCCCATGGACCAGCAGGTCATTTCCAACTTCAAGAAACTGTACACAAAAGCTATGTTTGAAAGGTGCTTTGTAGTGACCTCAGAAACTCAATTGACTAAGAGAGTTTTGGAGAGATCACTTTAGCATCCTCAATTGTGTAAACATCATAGGTAAGGCTTGGGAGGAAGTGACTAAGAGGACCTTGAACTCTGCTTGTTAGAAACTGTGGCCAGAATGTGTAGACAAAAAGGATTTTGAAGGGTTTGAGGCTAACCCTGGGAATCCTATGCCAGTTGAGGAATCCATTGTGGCATTGGGGAAGTCCTTGGGGTTGGAGGTTAGTGGGGAGGATGTGTAAGAGTTGGTGGAGGAGGACAATGAAGAACTAACCACTGATGAGCTGCTAGATCATCTTCAACAGCAAGAGGCCACACCTGAGGAAACTGCTTCAGAGGAGGGGATAGAGAAATTGAGGAAGTTGCCTACTTCAAAGATTAAGGAAATGTGTGCAATGTGGCTTAAAGTGCAAACCTTTTTTGATGAAAATCACCCTCACACAGCTATTGCAAGCCGTGTTGGCAACCTGTACACTGACAATGCTGAGAAACACTTTAGGAATGTCATAAAGGAACGGGAGGTACAGGCCTCTATGGACAGATAGGTTGTGCGACAGAGGTCCAGTGACTCAAGCTGGTCCTAGTGGCATTAAAAGAAGAAGGGAAGTAACCCCGGAAAAGGACTTGCCACCTCAAGTCCTAATGGAAGGGGATTTCCCTTCTAAACACTAACACCATCAACACACTCCCCTCCTCCCATCCCATCAATCATCACCAGATCTTCAATAAAGGTAAGTGTCATGTAACTGTGCATGTCTTCTTCAGTTTGTGTGTATTAAAATTAATACTATTTCATGTGGTAAAAAAATTTTTTTGTTCATACTTTGGGGTGTCAGGAACGGATTAATTTGATTTCCATTATTTCTTATGGGGAAAATTAATTCGCCTAACGTTGAGCTCTCAGGAACGGATTAATAGCGTTAGGCGAGGGTCCACTGTATTCTCGTTTTCTTGGTCTTATTTGATAGAACAGGAAAACATGTTGCAGAAATAAAGATTATTTTGATTAGTTTCACGATGAAAACGACCTTGATATTGAGCTCAAAATAGTGGAAATGTTCAATTTTTACAATGTTCAAGAGTAAGCAAATCACACTACATGTCCAACACACAGTCAATTGGGGAGTCTAATATTCTTTCACTAGTGCACTGATATTATTTATACCATTTTTACAATAATGCAGTAGTCTGCATGACAGTAAATCTTCTATTTTTTGTGTAAATAAAAAATAAAAATAGAAAACAGAGTAATATAAGAAGGGCCTGGAGACATGACTAATGAACAGAGGATATGTTATTTTAGTGCCAAGAATGTCTATTGTTTATTCTGGACCCTATTTTGAAACTGGCATCTTTTTTAATTTGCGTAAAATCGACCAAATTGCTAATTTCTGATCACTTTATTGGGTAGTTGAAATCGGTAAATAGGCGGTTTCTTGTACTCAACTGATAGAAAAATGGAGTTCTAAAGAAGCAGCTATGAGTTTGGTTGACTGGAACAATGGAATTGGCCAAAAATAGCGCTCAAAGTCGGCGAAATCGCCGATGCATACATATCTCAGAGATTGCTAACTTTGCAGGAGCGTAATTCCGTAAGTTTTCAATCATAATTTCGTACTTTTGGTGTCATAACCATCGGGAAAAGATTCTCTATAATTTCACAAGAAAAAATAACTTTTTCCAAAAATTTTATGACATAATAACAGTTTCAGAAATGGGCTTGCGACAGTCAAAGGTTAAGACTGACTGACCTCATGCTGTTATAGGGGAAATCATTCGCAGAAAGAGGTCTTTTTTTTGTAGCTTCCAAACTGTATAACAGATTACCAGTGTTTATTACGAGTCAGGAGTTTGTTCATTCTTCTAAGTCTCAGTTGAAATGCACCTCTCTTTTCTAGAGTTTATGAGCCTGATGATCACAGTGTCACTCTTGAAACTAAACTCGAGTATTTTTTTTTTTTTTTTTTTTTTTTTTTTTTATGACTGTTGCTGTATTTGTGGTTAGATGAACTCAAAAACTGTAAAATCCCAAATATTATTACAAGTGGTGGTTGGTGGTGGTGTGGTATTATAAAAAATACACGAGTTAACAGATGTACAGATGTGCCTGTTTTAATATCCAACCACTGAATGCCTTAAAGTCCTAAATACGTACACAATGGGGTGCAGGGGAGATACATGATAATATACAAGTGGAAAGCACTTAGAACCTAGTCCCAAACCTGCACACTGCTATAACATACTGTAGTGAGAGATGCGGGAGAATATGTGAAATAAACCCCATGAAAGGCAGGGGTGCAGTGGGCACAATAAGAGAACATTGTATCAACATACATGGTCCCAAACTTCTTAACATCTTGCTAGAAGATATCAAACAATGCTAGAACAAGTGTATAGAAGTCTAAGAGAAAACTAGACAACTCCCTCCACCAAGTGCCAGATCAACCAGGCTGTGGTATATGTGGGCCAGCTGGCTGCCAGCAGCAAAAGCTTGGTTGACCTGACAAGCACCAGATAAAATCTGACCCAGGGCCAGGATTCAAGAATAGAAAAACTCTTGAAATCCATCAAAGGTGTATCAAAGGTACTGCAAGGGGTGTCTGGCCAGTTATGACATCCAATTAGTAACGGTGCCGTTGGGAAAGTTCTCACTACAATAGTGTCTTAACTTAATTTTTGGGTATTTCAGTGATTGCCATTTTAACTCTCTTTACTTTAGAGCCATTTAATATGATGCTCTGTCTATAAATACACATTGAGACTTAAATATTTACTACCTCACACATTTCTCTCCCCATCTCAATAATATTGCAATCAACTTTAATTCATGCATATGTATGTATGTATTAAAGTAAATGCATACAAGCACTTGCATATATACATTAGTAGTCAGGCATCTGAACATGCTGGAAAAAAGTGTTTATTTTTTCTCTATTAGTTTCAAGGAAGAGGAGTTATAGAAGTTACCACTCTAAGAAAAGATTAATACCAGTTTACTTACAGTGCAACTAAGCTCGTCTAACTGTGAACGCATGTGAGCATTGTTGTTCTGTAACTCTTGTATCCGAGCTTCACTTGATTCCAGTTTCTCCTTCATTTCCAAATAAGCCTCTAAGCTCACTGACGAATCAATGCTTGCCATCAGCTCACTGCTTGGCTCACTGTACTGTAATTATAAAAATAAGGTAACTGTTGTGACTCCTACATATCAAGAGTGTAATCACACATTCAAGGGAAACTACTGTGTGGATTAATCACACATTCAGGGGTTAACTACTGTGTAGAGAACTAACTGGGTAGAGCAAGAGGTGCATTAGAAATATTGGTAAAAGAAATACGGCAAGTTACAGAAATTAAAATCCAGAACAAATAATGTCAACACTTTCGTAACAGAAATAAAAAAATAAGACAAAAACCTTGAATAGTAATGGTAGATGCATACAGTACAACCATCCATTTAACACATGAATAACAAAATGAATTTGACATGATAAATTAGACGCTGCATAATATGCTATGGAACCATTTCTGAGAAATGACCATAAATAAGAAACAAATCATTGAAAAAAATCAATTATAAAAATACAGTGGAACCCCAGATATTGTCCTTAATTCATTCCAGAAGGTCGGTCTAAATCCCAAACTGACGAAAACTGAAGTAACATTTCCCATAAGAAATAATGTAAATGCAATTAACCCTTTGGCTGTCGAGGTCATATATATATGTCTTACGAGGTACCGTGTTTGACGTATATACACCTACCATCCGACTTATGACCTGCTCGACTTACGACCACTCGACTTACGACCGTGTTTTTTATGCCAAATTTCTGGGAAATAAACAACTATTTGTATTGTACACAGTGTTTATCCTAAACCTTACAGTATAAAATACAGTACTAACAACATAAAAAGTAAAGTAAAACATGAAATACCAAAATAAAACAATAAAATAAAGTCATTACAAAAATGTTTTGTTGATATTCAGTAGTAAAGTTCGACTTACGACCATTTCGACTTACGACCGGTTTCTCGGAACCGAACTCGGTCGTAAGTCGGATGGTAGGTGTATACTCATAAATTCTAGCGGCTTCAAATCAAGCAGGAGAAAGCTGGTAGGCCCACATGTGAGAGAATGGGTCTGTGTGGTCAGTGTGCACCATATAAAAAAAAATCCTGGAGCATGCAGGGTATAATGAGAAAAAAAAAAACCTCCGACCGTTTTAATTAAAATGCCGACTCTTGTGGTCTATTTTCGTATAGTATTTATGGTTGTATTCTCGTTTTCTTGGTCTCATTTGACAGAATGGAAAACATATTATAGAAATAGAGGTGATTTTGATTGATTTTATTATAAAAAGAACCTGGAAATGGAGCTCAAAGTATGGGAAATGTTTGATTTTTGCCGATGATCAAAAGTAAACAAATGGTACCATTGTCCAATAAATGCCCAACTAGCCATTCTAATATGCAGTTATTACTAGAGATATTAACAATGCAAGGAATTCGCAAGAGCAGGCGAAATATACACAAACCCTGATCTCTGGCTGAAGGAGACTCGAACCTACGAACCTTGAACAAGGTACGCAGTGCTTTACCAATCTACCCACACTGGACCAATACCTTGGAGTCCAGCTTGCACTAGACTTTGATCCAAGGCAGCCAGCTTTCAGGGAGAAGGCTTACAGCTTTTCATCTCATCCCCTGCATGCATCAGCCTTACTAGAGATATTAACAATGCAAGGAATTCGCAAGAGCAGGGGATGAGATGAAAAGCTGTAAGCCTTCTCCCTGTTGCCCCTCTATAAATGTGTACATCCTGGAGCCTACCCATCAACCTTTTATCCATCAATACATAATCTAATAAACTACCTTCATTAAATGCTATATCATGCCTTGTATATTTATTTATCCTCTTTCATAAAATATTTATTATTACCAAACCTCTTTCTACACATAGCTCAATTAAAGGCTCCCCATTTCCATTTACCCCTGGCACCCCAACTTTACCTACTACTCCCTCCACAACATTTTTACCCGCTTTAGCATTAAAATCCCAACCACAAGTACTCTCACACTTGGTTCAAAACTCCCCACGCATTCACTTAACATTTCCCAAAATCTCTCTCTCTCCTCTACACTTTTCTCTTCTCCAGGTGCATATACGCTTACTATAACCCACTTTTCACATCCAACCTTTATTTTACTCCACAATCCTTGAATTAATACATTTATAGTCCCTCTTTTCCTGCCATAGCTTATCCTTCAACATTATTGCTACTCCTTTAGCTCTAACTATTTGAAACCCCTGACCTAATCCCATTTACTCCTCTCCACTGAAACTCTTCCACCCCCTTCAACTTTGTTTCACTTAAAGCCAGGACATCCAGCTTCTTCTCATTCATAGCATCCACAATCATCTCTATCATTCGCACAACATCCACGCACAGACATCCCACTCTGACAATTTTCTTATTCTTTTTAGTAATTATTACAGGAAAAGGGGTTACTAGCCTATTGTTTCCGGCCTTATAGTTGACTTTTACAACACGCATGGCTTACGGAGGAAAGATTCTTATTCCACTTCCCCGTGGATATAAAAGGAAAAGTAATAAGAACAAGAACTATTAAGATAAAATCAAAGAAAACTCAGATGAGTGTGTATAATTAAACGTGTACACGTATGTGTAGTGTGACCCAAGTGTAAGTAGAAGTAGCAAGATGTACCTGTAATCTTGCATATTTATGAGACACAAAAGACACCAGCAATCCTACCATCATGTAAAACAATTACAGGCTTTCGTTTTACACTCACTTTGCAAGGACGGTAGTACCTCCCTGGGTGGTTGCTGTATCCCACCAATGCAGGGTGGCCCAAAAAGAAAAATGAAAGTCTTCCTTTTTATATTTAGTAATTTATACAGGAGAAGAGGTTACTAGCCCCTTGCTCCCACCATTTTAGTCCCCTCTTACGACACGCATGGCTTACGGAGGAAGAATTCTGTTCCACTTCCCCATGGAGAGAAATGAAATTATGTTATACAAAACAAAAAAGCAATTTGGTATTAAAAAGTCTGGTTTTATTTATTTTTACCAGAAACATTAGCTACCAAGTGAAAGATCATGATTTTAATTCAGGGTTGGGCAATATATATGGTCCGGTGAAGGTGGTTTAGACATTTAAAGAGCATAGAACAAAATAGGATGACTTGGAGGGTGTAAAAATCTGTTGTGGAAGGAAGAGGTAGGAGTCATCCTAGAAAATGTTCAAGGGAGGGGGTAAAGGAGGTTTTAGGTTAAGAGCTTAATCAAAAAAAAAAAAAAAAAAAAAAAAATGTGAGCATGTTAGAAAAGAGTGGTTTTTATGACTTGATATGCTGTTGAAGTGTAAGCAAGGTAACATTTATGAAAGGATACCAGGTAGCTGGAACCAAGTCCTGGAGGTGAAGTACAGTGCTTGCACTCTGAAGGTGTGGGTTTATCTGCAGTACTGAACTGTAGTATTGGCACCCCTCTGGCAAGACAGTGATAGAGTGATGGTGAATGTTTTTTTTTTTTTATTTGGTCAACCTACCTCAGTGGGAGATGACTTGTTTGTAAAAAATAAACATACATACACAAACACCTGATACATAGTCTTAAAGATCTACAAATTAAAGAAAATCAATTTTGATACTTACAAGTTCGTCCAGTTGATGCTGTCGTCTCTGCTCTTCCAAAAATAGCTTTTGTTGTGAGAGCTTCTGAATTTGTTCCAAACACGAGTAGTCATCTTCAGATGCCACAGAGTCATATAGGGGTTCCCCGTCATCTGTCATTTCACCCTTGTTGTTGTTGTTGGCAGCTATGGTATTATTGAAGGAGAGTGAGGATGGGCCTGACTGGGTTTCTGTGATAGTGGTGATGAGACTTGTACTAGAGGTGCTTGAAGTGTCTGTGACAGCAGTAGTAGACAGCCCTGTGCTAGAGGATGTGCCTGAGGAGTCTGTTGTAGAAGGTGTTATGAGACTTGCAGTAGATGAAATAGAAGTTAGAGAGTTTAGTACTGGTCTTTGATGCTGATGCTCCTTGTTTATTAACACAGGAGAGGAGTTAACAGGTGCAGTCACTGATGTTGGGGGAGTTATTAACCTTGCATTTAAGCACATGTTGTTGTGGAGGTTTACTTTGGGAGAGTTAGGCAGTGTCAACGTCACGTCACCGAAGTCTAGAAAGAGAAGAAGAGAAAAGAAATTGGTTAATGCCACATTGTTTACAACATGCTGAAAATTATTATAACTGTCCATAATATGCCTCAAGACAAATCAAGAATGACAAACAAAGCACAACACTAAATCCCCCAAACACCACCACCTGGAACAACACACAGTAAGCATACAGTAATGAAAAAAGAAAATGAAGAAACCAAAGTTAAAATCTTTTCTGCCAATAACTGTCACACAGTTTCAAGTTTTGAGTCTGTAAGCACATTCCAAGTCCAATATTAATAGCTATTTAGTGATATTATTGAAATGTGTTAATATAGCATCATACCAAATGGTCAACAAGAGGTTAGTCATTTAATGTTAAAGGCTAGCTACAACACTGCTCTGCACTGTACATCACAATTTCGTGTAATATACTTTCAAGTTAAAACATCACTGCAGTTTGCAATCCTCTTTCGAAGGCTTTCGCTTAATTGTCACCATCTGATTTTCCTCTACATTGGATATATAACCTTTGGGAAGATTTTCTATCTCTCCCCATATTGAAGCATGTTGGATATTTGCAGCTACATTTCGAGCACAAGTCACACATGGCTCAAGAATAGGATTATTACAAGGTTCAGATGGCCAGTTATCTAGAGCATTAGGAGGAGGAGACCTTATTAAATGATCAGGAAAAGGGTTTTTAAATGAAGCTTGGCGACTTAAATTAGAGGTTTTTCTCGTCACTGGCTTTTGATGAGAAGTCGGTGGTTTTGGAGGTTTTCCTGCAGGGCTCTTTTTACCCTGCGATGGATTTTTCTTCACTTGAGAACTTTTAAGCTTTTGTTCTGAGGTTTCTAGAAAACCTTCAAATCTATTATCAACATTCCATGGAGAAATCATATTTCGATTGACTTGATCAGGTTTCATGTAGCTCCTTGTTACATGACTTCTACGAGGAAGTTCAGGTGTACTTGGTTGGGAACGTGAGAACACTTTGGTTAGACTCTGTCTGTGCTGGGCAGCATATTTCAAGGGCATGGTAAGGGTTCGCACCAATAAGGATCGTGCCCCTCCTGTTCCTGGTTTTGATAATGGAGCTGTTGGAGGTAGGGCTGAAGAAGTTTTCCACTTCTCCTCCAAGCTCTGCTTAGGATTGAGAAGCTTCTCTCGAATACTTTTCGAGAGCTGAGCTGCAAACTGACTAGTAGCTGGATCATAAACTTCATCATAATCAGCAAACTGATCACCTTCATCTGATAAATCACTATTACTACTGAATCCACTTGAATATTTTCGTCTAAGAGGTTTAACAGGTTCAATCTTACTGCTATCCTGTTTATTTTCTGGTTGAATTTTAGAGTAGTTTCCTTGATGTGAAAATGGTATCCAATGACTATTCAGCAAATCTCTAATACATCCTTCAGTATGGCATTCATCATTATCATCACTGCTACTGATATCTGCAGATTCTTCATCAACACCCACACCATCAATTGAGTCTCGTTCAAAACTGCCAGTACCTACATCTTCAAGAGATCCATTCACCTCATCGTAAGAGCGATAGAGGGGGTTATTTTGGGTGAGCAATAAAGCTCGACAGCTAGAACCATTAGTAGATGGGACAGAAGTGCAAGTGTCATTCAAAGGGACAACAGTGGGAGAAGACACACCCGATATTAAAGTATCAGAGGATATAGATAAAGCAGAAGACGGGGAATGGTCCTCAGGATTGGTGAACATGTGTGGAGGAGAGGGACAGGCGAAGAAGGGGTCCCGTGCCCTGTCAGCCCTCTGGACAGCTGTGGTTACTGCTAGCGGGAAGAAAGAGCACAAAATGAGGAAGCTTTCATGTAGGATTCTCAATATAACAAATAATCTGTTAGGAAAAATATGCAGTTAACCCTCTGACTGTTTCAGTCGTATATATACGTCTTACGAGCCAATGTTTTTGATGTATTTACTCCAAAATTCTAGCGGCTTCAAATCAAGCGGGAGAAAGCTGGTAGGCCCACAAGTGAGAGAATGGGTCTGTGCAGTCAGTGTGAGCAGTATAAAAAAAATCCTGCAGCACGCAGTGCATAATGAGAAAAAAAAAAACTCAGTGTTTTTAGATTAAAACGCTGACTGAGGTGTATTTTCATATAGTATTTGTGGTTGTATTCTAGTTTTATTGGTCTCATTTGATAGAATGAGAAACATACTACAGAAATAGAGATGGTTTTGACTGGTTTCACAATGAAAGAGACCTTGAAATTGAGCTTTAAGTAGCGGAAATGTTCGATTTTTGCCGATGTTCAAGAGTAAACGATGACGTCATTGTCCAGTAAGTGTCCAATTAGCCATTCTAATTTGCAGTCATGAATGGGTTGACATTATTTATACAAAAATTTATACAAAATAGAAAACAAGAGTAATATAAGAGGGGCCTGGAGGCATGACTGATGAACAGAGAAAATGTTATTTTAGTGCCAGGAATTTCTGCATTGTTCATTCTGGACCCTATTTTGAAATTGGCATCTTTTTTAATTTGCATGAAATTGGCCAAATTGCCAATTTGACCACTTTACTGGGTAGTTGAAATCAGTAAATGGGTAGTTTCTTGTACTCATTCGACAGAACAAATGGAGTTCTGAAGAAATAGCTACAAGTTTGGTCGACTGAAACAATAGAATTTGCCAAAAATAAGGTTCAAAGTGGGTGAAATCACCTATGCGTAAACATCGCTGAGATTGCTAACTTCGCAAGAGCGTAATTCCATAAGTTTTCCATCAAATTTCGTACATTTGGAGTCATTACAAAGGGAAAAAATTATCTATCATTTCATAATTTTTTTTTTTTTTTCGAAATTTTGCAACACAGAGGCACTCTTTAGGATTTGGGGTCGTGACAGTCAAAGGGTTAAATAAAACTAAACAGTAACGTTTTCTAAAACACTAACAAATACTATTAAATCACTTTTTAAGGTAATACAAGACTTCCAAACTATCCAGCAGAAATCTTCAAGGTTTGGAGTGCCTTGAGGATGTTGAGGGCCTCTTGATTCAAGAAATTTGAGCTACCCTTCCTTACCTTGAACAAACCCAATTTCCCCAAGCCTTGTATGACCTTGACAGATTTACAACCTGCCCATGAATATTAATAATATCCAAATGGAACAAAAAAAATTGTCATGTTAACAAAATAAAATTCTACCTTTAATAAAGCTAAAAAAAAGTGATAAAGGATATATGCTTAGTACTTATACAACACTATTACATTATGAATTTACATAAAGAACAAGATATGAGATTAAGTCATATGAGGGGAAAAAAAGATACAGTAATGTAATAAAATTAATTTTTGCAAGCATTCCATATTGGGAGAGCATAGAAAATGTGACATACGTAAGTGCTGGATGATTTGCAGGAAGAAATGACTTAAGCTTTGTAAATACTGTAAAATATATAGATGAAGATAAATGCATAAATACATAAATGAAAAAATAAACAATTATTATCTACCTGTTATTAATGCAAACTACTTTCCACAAGATCTGGTGGAAATAAACTTTAACACATTACTACCTCACTCAATTTACTTCATTTATAAGATGAAGTCATGAAGGGTACTGACTTTTGAATGTGCTAACTACACATTATGGCAAGATCTTGTAATGAGTCATAGGGTATGATTGATGTTATTGCAATTTGTTGAAGGTTTGAGTTACTTGCTAAGAAGCATCCTATGTGATAAAATAAAGTAGAAGACTTTTATCCAGGTTTCCATGCTGATAGCCTGATCACTGCTGCCCAAGGGCTGCAGGCATACATAGCCATTACAACTTAACTGATCTGGCACTTCCTGCAGCAACTGTTCAAGTTTCATTGTTAAATTAGACACGTGCAACTCTTGGGTATCTTTATTGAGGAAACGTTTCACCACACAGTGGCTTCATCAGTCCATACATAGGAGAAACTTGAAGAACAGGTGGAGAATGAGGTAATCAGTCCCTCAACCTTGAGCTGATGTGGTCAGTCCATCAATCTTGAATATTCTATTCAAGATTGATGGACTGACCACATCGACTCAAGGTTGAGGGACTGATTACCTCATTCTCCTCCTGTTCTTCAAGTTTCTCCTATGTATGGACTGATGAAGCCACTGTGTGGTGAAACGTTTCCTCAATAAAGATACCCAAGAGTTGCACGTGTCTAATTTAACATGTCGGTTCTTTGAACCATTCATCTACAAGTTTCATTGTCAAGACTTTTACCCTTGTTCCACAATTAAAGAACACTTAACATTTGTGGGTCACAGGCATTAATAGTGTTTTGTGTTTATCAAACCCTCAATTTTCATTGGGTTTATTATACACTTCTTCCTCTTTCTCTCACTCGAAGAAGATAGTAGAAGAACATGTAAATGCAAGTCATTGCCCTCAATTATTCTTGTTTAATACTTTATGCTAAATTTTCCTGCTACCTTCTCAGGAAGTTCCCAAACAATCTAGAACAATATAAAGAATAAAATATAAAAATTGAGGTACATTTCTCCTGGTATACCAGCAACCAGAACATTACAAGCTCAAGCATTGGGAAACTGGGTCACCAGATTTGGTAAGTAAGGTCAATTTCCATAGAGTACATTACTTTGTCCTAGGTAGTAGGTTGGTAGACAGCAACCGCCCAGGGAAGTACTATTGTCCTGCCAAGCAAGTGTAGAATGGAAGCCTGTAATTGTTTTACATGATGGTAGGATTGCTGGTGCCTGTCTCATAAACATGCAAGATTTCAGGTATGTCTTGCTACTTCTACTTACACTTAGGTCACACTACACATGCACTGACAAGCATATATAGATACACACTCCTCTGGGTTTTCTTCTATTTTCTTAGTTCTTTTATTTATTTTTTATTAACACATTGGCCATTTCCCACCTAGGGAGGGTGGCCCGAAAAAGAAAAACTTTCATCATTCACTCCATTACTGTCTTGCCAGAGGCATGCTTACACTACAGTTATAAAACTGCGACACTAACACCCATCCTTCAGAGTGCTGGCACTGTACTTCCTGTCTCTAGGAATCAAGTCCAGCCTGCTGGTTTCCCTGAATCCCTTCGTAAATATTACCTTGCTTACACTCCAACAGCACATGAAGTCCTTAAAAACCATTCGTCTCCATTTGCATCTACCAAATATGCTCACGCATACTTGCTGGAAGTCCAAGCCCCTTGCACACAAAACTTCCATTACCCCCTCCCTCCAACCCTTCCTAGGCCAACCCCTACCCCACCTTCCCTCCACTACAGATTTATACTCTCCAAGTCATTCTGTTTTGTTCCATTCTCTCTACATGTCCAAACCACCTCAACAACCAATCCTCAGCCCTTTGGATAATAGTTTTGGTAATCCCACACCTTCTCCTAATTTCCAAACTACGAATTCTCTGCATTATATTCACACCACACATTGCGCTCAGACATGACATCTCCACTGCCTCCAGCCTCCTCCTCGTTGCAACATTCATCACCCATGCTTCACACCCATACAAGAGTTTTGGTATAACTATACTCTCATACACTCCCCTCTTTGCTTTCATGGACAAAGTTCTTTGTCTCCACAGACTCTTAAGTGCACCACTCACCAATTCTATGATTTACCTCATCTTTCATAGACCCATCTGCTGACACATCCACTCCTAAATATCTGAATACATTCACCTCCTCCATACTCTCTCCCTCCAATATGATGTCCAATCTTTCGTCACCTAATCTTTTTGTTATCCTCATCACCTTACACTTTCCTATAGTCACTTTTAATTTTCTTCTTTTACATACCCTACCAAATTCATCCACCATCCTCTGCAACTTCTCTTCAGAATCTCCCAAAAGCAGTGTGTCATCAGCAAAGAGCCACTATGACAACTCCCACTCTGTTAGATTCTTTATCTTTGAATCCCGCACCTCTTGCCAACACCCTAGCATTCACTTCTCTTACAACTCAGTCTATAAATATATTGAACAACCTTGTTGATATCACACACCCCTGCCTAAGGCCTACTTTTACTGGAAAATAATCTCCCTCTCACCTACATACCCTAACCTGAGCCTAACTATCCTCATAAAAACTCTTAACTACTTTCAATAACCTACCTCTTATTCCATACATTTGCAACATCTGCCACACTACCCCCCTTATCCACCATCATATGCCTTTTCCAAATCCATAAATGCCACAAAAACCTCTTTACCCTTATCTAAATACTGTTCACCTATATGTTTCACTGTAAACACTTGGCCTACATGCCCCCTACCCTTCCTAAAGCCTCCTTGTTCATCTGCTACCCTGCTCTCAGTCTTGCTCTTAATTCTTTCAATAATAACTACCATACATTTACCAGGTATACTCAATTGACTTATTCGCCTATAATTTTTACACTCTTTCGTCCCCTTTGCCTTTATACAAAGGAACTATGCATGCTCTCTGCCAGTCCCTAGGTAGCTTTACCCTCTTCCGTACATTTATTAAATAATAGCACCAACCACTCCAAAACTATATCCCCACCTGCTTTTAACATTTCTATCTTTATCCTATCAATCCCAGCTGCTTTACCCCCTTTCATTCTACTCTCTGCCCTATGCACTTCCCCCACACTTACAACTGGTTCTTCCTCACTCCTATAAGATGTTATTCCTCCTTGCCCTATACACAAAATCACAGCTTCCCTATCTTCATCAACATTTAACAATTCCTCAAAATATTCCATCTTCCCAATACCTTTAACTCTCCATTTAATAACTCTTCTCTCCTATTTTTAACTAACAAATCCATTTGTTCCATAGGCTTTCTCAACTTATTAATCTCACTCCAAAACTTTCTTATTTTCAGCAAAATTTGTTGATAACATCTCACCCACTCTCTCATTTGCTCTTTTTTTACATTGCTTCACCACTCTTAACATCTCTATCTTTCCATATACTCCTTCCCCCTTGCATCACTTCTACTTTGTAAAAACCTCTCATATGCTAACTTTTTCTCCCTTACTACTCTTTTTACATCATCATTAAACCAATTGCTCTTCTTCCCTCCCACACCCACTTTCCTGTAACCACAAACTTCTGCTGAACACTTATCCCATACATCATCTTCCCCACTGTTTATACTCAATAGCCCATCTGTCCTCCAACAGTTATTTATATCTTACCCTAACTGCCTCCTCTTTTAGTTTATAAACCTTCACCTCTCTTACTTGCTGCTTCCATTTTCCTTGTATCCCATCTACCTTTTACCCTCAATGTAGCTACAACTAAAAAGTGATCTGATATATCTGTAGCCCCTCTATAAACATGTACATCCTGAAGTCTACCCAACAGTCTTATCTACCAATATGTAATCCAACGAACTACTGTCAATATGCCCTATATCATATCTTGTATACTTATTTATCCTCTTTTTCTTAAAATATGTTACCTATAACCAAACCCCTTCCTAGACAAAATTCAATCAAATGCTCCCCATTATCATTTACGCCTGGCACCCCAAACTTGCCTACCACACCCACTAAATGTTTCTCCAACTTTAGCATTTAGGTCCCCTACCACAATTACTCTCTCACTTGCTTCAAAAGTTCCTACACACTCGCTTAACATCTCCCAAAATCTCTCTCTCTCTTCTCTACACTCCTCTCTTCTCCAGGTGCACACACACTTATTATGACCCACTTTTTACATCAAACCCTTATTTTAATCCACATAATCCTTGAATTTATACATTTATGTTACTCTTCTCTCCATAACTGATCCTTCAACATTATTGCTACCCCTTCCTTAGCTCTAACTCTCTCATACTCCTGAGTTAATCCCATTTATTTTTCCCTTCAGCTTTGTTTTGCTTAGGGCTAGGATTTCCAACTTCTTTTCATTCATAACATTAGCAATCATTTTTTTCTTATCATCCGCACTACATCCACGCACATTCAAACCTCCCAATTTTATAGTCTTTCTTTTCCTTCTTTTTAGTAGTTTATAAAGGAGAAGGGGTTACTAGCCCATTGCTCCCAGCATTTAGTCACCTCCTACGACACGCATAGCTTACAGAGGAAGAATTCTGTTCCACTTCCCGATGGAGATAAGCAGAAATAAACAAAAGCAAGAACTAGAAAGAAAATAGAAGAAAACCCAGAGGGGTTAGTATATATATGCTTGTACATGCATGTGTAGTGTGACCTAAGTGTAAGTAGAAGTAGCAAGACATACCTGCAACCTTGCATGTTTATGAGACAGACACCAGCAATCCTACCATCATGCAAAACAATTACAGGCTTGTGTTTCACACTCATTTGGTAGGATGGTAGTACCTCCCTGGGTGGTTGCTGTCTACCAACCTACTACAAGCTCTTGTTCTTGTTTATTTCCTCTTATCTCCATGTGGAAGTGGACCAGAATTCCTCCTCCATAAGCTATGAGAGTTGCAAGAGGCAACTAAAAAGAGAAACCTTTCATTTTTCTTTTTGGGCCACCCTGCTTCAGTGGGATATGAATGGTTTGTTGAAAGCAGCAGCATTACTTTGTATCCATTACCAGGTGTTCCACAACACCATCATACTTATAAATTTAACAGGTATAGACGAGGACTTACAATGTATACAAGTCTTAGTTACTCATTCACTATTTAGAGAATAGATGGAGAACTATTGCAGTTGCTTTGCCCCTTATATTGTCTCAAAGTAGGAGAAAGTTCTTGCTACCCTACCAGTTAGTAACAGCATGTAAACTTTGACATTAACACAGTTTTGTATAAATGATTTTTGCCAGCAGTGCAGTGAAGGTGTATCTATTTCTGTGCCTATAGTGATAGTGAAGGACACATTTCACAAAGAACAAACTAAATGAAATGTGACTGTTTTCAAGGCTGACTTACCAGAAGATTTGGTTCTGACTTACCTTTCTGGTTTTCCTTTTCAAAAATTCTTTCTACATCTTGATAAGGTAAGAGCATTTTGGATTGCTTCCTTTTGTAATTAGGTGCACTTTTTGTATGGGTCCGAAGGGTATGTGCAAATGCTGAATTTAAACAATCAATAATGCCAGCTTAAAACCCACCTTTATCTTTAGAAGTTGCACATGGAGAGGCGATCCCCGACTGACGTCTCTTAATATCAGACAAAACATCAATAATTAAAGTAGCAAACTCTCTTGCATTGAACCTGTGGAAAAAATCATATCCATCTAATACCCGACATTAATACTGCATTATTACAAATGATAATTATAGCTTTACAATAATTCTTATTTAACAAATAACTACCATAATTTCCAGCTCAGCCAAAGTTTGCTTAGTGCAATTTTGCTAGGCAACAAAGAATACATTGTGAACAGTTTCACCTATCAATATATTTTTTAGATTGACTAAGAAAGACAGGTCCTAATGTTTGCAGTTCAAATAAATACACACAGTGACAAAGGTTATATAACAGGTGGTGAAGGCTGTGAGAAAAGACTAGCTAGGCTTGCTTCACTGTTATGGTAAACCAATGACACTGCACATTTTTTTTTCATCCCTAATTAAGCACACTCCAAATATTCTACCCTAGCCAATATGAGTTTCGAAAGGCCAGCCATCAACTGATAATGATTGCAGTCGTGTAAAGGCTATAATATTACTTCCCTAACTCACTTAGCACACTAACCTTATACTGATAAACTCCACATATATTTAAAACAAAATATTTACATATAGTATACATCTATATTCAAACTACTGAGTTTTGAAATAACCATGTAGAAAAGATGAATAGACATCACCATCAAGCAAACAAGGAAACAGTGTGGAACTGTTGAGGGTGACTGGTCCAAGAGTTTGTTAGTAACTGGGGAAGCTGGTATTAAACCACAGAACAAGGTTAGGTGTATCACAGCTACAAACTAAAACAAAATACCAAGGTGCATAAAAAGCTAGGTAATGTAGTTCAGTACTCATTTGAGCATACATTCATAGGCAATGGATTTTCTCTCCAAGTTATGTTTGGCCAAGCAAGAAAGGAATCTCACTGTATAGTAGTAGAAGCAAGTAGCAATTATTTGCTTGTTAGATTAAAAATCAGCATAGTTTTGAGTAAAACACTAGTTCATAGATTATAGCTCTTCCTAAGCAATGACTGGAATTGCAAGTTTTAGACCAAGAGTATACATATTAAAAACTAACTTGAGGGAAATGGAGGTTGAACAGACTCTACATTTACAAGTTTTCTCATATGTAGGGAGGGAAAAGTAGATCACTGATACAGTTTAAGAAAGGACCTTAGAATAACCATTACCTTAAAACAATCTCCTGAAGTGCACAAAAACAGAACAACATCAGTTGCATAGACAGGCGCATGCGCCCACACACGTGCACACGCACGCACAGGCACACGCTTGCACGCGCGGGCGCATCGGCGATTTCGCCCACTTTGAGCACTATTTTCGGCCAATTCCAATGTACTAGTCGACAAAAATCATATCTATTTCACTAGAACTCCATTTTTTTTTATATCGAATGAGTACAAGAAATCACCCATTTACCGATTTCAACTATCCAATAAAGTGGTCAGAAACTGGCAATTTTGCCAATTTCACAAATTTCAGAAGATGCCAATTACCAAATAGGGTCCAGAGTAAACAAGACAGACATTCCTGGCACTAAAATAACATTTTCTGTTCATTAGTCACATCACAAAATATAGAAGATTTACTGTTATGCAGACTACTGCATTAGTGTAGAAATGGTATAAACAAGATCAGCGCACTTGTGAAAGAATATCAGACTCGCCAGGTGACGTGTATTAGACAATTGGCATGATTTGTTTACTTTTGAACTTTGGTAAAAATCAAACATTTCTGCTACTTTGAGCTCAATTTCAAGGTACTTTTCATTATGAAACCAATCAAAATCATCTCAATTTCTGTAATATTCTTCCATTCTATAAAATGAGACCAGGAAAACTCAAGTACAACCATAAATACCTTACAAAAATACACTGCAAGGTCGCCGCCGTTTCAAACCAAAAACACGGTCGGAGTTTTTTTTCCTCATTATGCACTGTGTGCTGCAGGAATTTTTTTATATTGTGTACAATGCCCACAGACCCATTCTTTCATATATAGGCCTACCAGCTTTCTCTCACTAAATTTGAAGGCGCTAGAATTTAGGCGTACTAGTACGTCAATAACCCTGGTGCGCGAGCCGTACTAGTACATCGGAAACCCTGAATGGGTTGAAGAATAATGCAATGAAAAAATTAATTTTACAAGTGGAATTTAATGACTACCAGTGCCTTATTAACAGAATTAATTCAAATAGATACACTGAAAAACTCGGTGAAAAATTAAGCAAGCAACAATGTAAGAAAGTAAGGCGTGAACGTATCGGGTATATGTACAGTACTTCTAGCACATGGCCAGTAACAACAGTTCTACTTACTCTTGCAGTCCAATCTGAAGTTAAGATTTCCTGATTACTGCCCTCACAAACATTGAAGTAACAATACCAAAGTTACTGTATTCACTAGGTTTGAATTACATCACTGACAGGCAGTAATGTTAAAATATGATTTTTTCACTGAACATATTGAGTCATGCATGTACAAGCATATATATACACACCCCTCTGGATTTTCTTCTATTTTCTTACTAGTTCTTGTTTATTTCCTCTTATCTCCATGGAAAGTGGAACAGAATTCTTCCTCTGAGCCATGCATGTCATAAGAGGCAACTAAAATGCTGGGAGCAAGGGGCTAGTAACCCCTTCTCCTGTATACATTACTAAATTTAAAAAAGAGAAACTTAGATTTTTCTGTTTAGGTCACCGTCTTGGTGAGATGTGGCTCATTTGTTGGGAGAAGAAAAAAATATTGAGTTATGACTATTCCAGACTGGTGTCAAATATCGCTTTTGATTCAAGATCCATGAACTCGCTACTAAGTAACACAGTTAACTATCCATTATAACAATCTCACTGTGCACGACAGCCCCGCATTTTCAGCTCCCTCTTTTCAGTGTCACTTTTCAGGTGGCTTTAGTCAAGCCACTGTTCATTACGTTCATCCTTTTCAACTTTTCCACACAACAGTTACGTGTGGGAAGGGCAACTGGCACCATATTTTAAGGCAAGTATTATATGTATAGTGTATTTATTTTACTTTTGTATGTTTTTTTTTTATGCCTAGCTGTACTGATCACTTAATATATGATAGTGTAAACACATTATCGAGCATTTTTGATGCATTCAATATTGAAAAAAATGCCCTTTCCCACTCGCCAGCGATTTTCACATAGGTGGGGATCAGAAACTTAACAGCCACAAAAACTGGGCCCTCCTGTACTTAACTGAAATTTCACTCTAGAAAGTAACAATACATACATTCAAACCCATAGGGTTTTACTACTTTTTGCATTTGTAACAATCTTATGAAATTTCAGTTTGTATGGTGTGGTTTGTGTGGTGTGAATATAATGCAGAGAATTCGTAGTTTGGAAGTTAGGAGGAGGTGCGGGATTACCAAAACTGTTGTCCAGAGGGCTGAGGAAGGGTTGTTGAGGTGGTTCGGACATGTAGAGAGAATGGAGCGAAACAGAATGACTTCAAGAGTGTATCAGTCTGTAGTGGAAGGAAGGCGGGGTAGGGGTCGGCCTAGGAAGGGTTGGAGGAGGGGGTAAAGGAGGTTTTGTGTGCGAGGGCTTGGACTTCCAGCAGGCATGCGTGAGCGTGTTTGATAGGAGTGAATGGAGACAAATGGTTTTTAATACTTGACGTGCTGTTGGAGTGTGAGCAAAGTAACATTTATGAAGGGATTCAGGGAAACCGGCAGGCCGGACTTGAGTCCTGGAGATGGGAAGTACAGTGCCTGCACTCTGAAGGAGGGGTGTTAATGTTGCAGTTTAAAAACTGTAGTGTAAAGCACCCTTCTGGCAAGACAGTGATGGAGTGAATGATGGTGAAAGTTTTTCTTTTTCGGGCCACCCTGCCTTGGTGGGAATCGGCCGGTGTGATAATAATAATAAATATTTATTTGGGAAAGGAAAAAACTTTCCTGGTATTCCATTAACCTTTAACTAGGTACAAGTAAAAGTGAATTTGGTACCACTATAGTTAATAAGAAACCCAGTTTCTCAGAAAAGTTACTTATACAGTACATGACGCAAAGGTAACACACATGCCTCCTGTTCTATACCACACAAGTTTAAGCCTATAAGATTCCATACCTTGTATAAATCTACAGTCTACTATATTGTTTTGCTTTAATAAAATTTAAATATTAGAAAATGGTTGAAAAGCTGTCAACCACTGATACTAACAATGTGTCTTCAATGAGTGTAAACGTACTTGTATTACTAATATTTAATCAAGTGTCAAACAATTTTAGCCATTTTTGCTGCTAAACCAAATAAAATTTGGTCAATTTAATTTATGCCTAGCTATAGTGGTTAACTCTATAAAACCCTAACGAGAACACAGCTTACCTAGCCAGCTTTTGTCGACCTTGGTTTCTAGTCGAGGAATACTCTGGGTTGACTGGAAGAAATGGTACCGTGCAGCGATCGCTTACCAGAGCACTCTGATTTTGTAGTGACAACCATATAGCATCTGTCTCACGTCGATCAACCTATTAAGAGAAAAATAAACCAGTTTACAGTGCCTAATTTTTCACTCTTCCATCAAGTGATTTTCTTTCTTTAATGAGATAAAGTCCTAAACATAATTTTTCTCAAGAATTCAAAATACTTTTAACTGTTCAACACCTTTAGAAGATTATATTAAACATCAGAAGAATGAATGAAACATATATAAGAAACAGTTGCTATTTGCCAGCATACAAAAACAAGTGTGAAAACAATGAGTTAAATAGCATGTAAAAATAGGCAAGCTGAATGAGAAAAGCAGCAAGGTGCAGGGTGTGTGTATTACCTATTTGTAGTCATTTACTGGTTTGAGTATACTGTACATCGAATGAGTTTCAGCTCTTGATCCCATCTCTTAACTTCTGAATGACAGCCATGAATTAGCACTACTGTATTTACAGCTGAACCCCCTGTACACAGACAGCATCTACTGTCCCTGCTTAATTCATTCTACTTCTTTTTTTTTTACCAATTATCCAGTAAAGTGCCTCCTAATATCTGTGATTTGACTGTTCAGCTTAAATCCATCCCCTTATTCCAGATCTTGCCCAAGCCAAGGAGTTTTTGACATGTTGCACTATAATTATGTTGAGATGAGCTCAACCCCATGCCATCTTTACTCTTCACTTAAGCCTTGCAACTTCAGCAACAGTCTGACTCTTCATTCGGTAGGATAAGCATTCCATAGTAGTGCTGTGTACTAAAAGACTGGTCACAGGTATTTTAAATTTATGACTTGAAAAAAATCATACATTAAGGGTTTTGAAAATTATATTTCTACTTGCCAACCTAGCAGTTGTTGACATAATTATGCTTACGAGTAGTTATTATTATATTTAAGGGTAATTGTTAAGCCTACAGGGGTCATACAGCACCTGGGAAATGGAAGACAATCAGGTTCAATCCAAGGGAGGGAGCAGTCACCAGCATCAAAGAATCTTCCTTGAGGGGGGACTCCATGACTTGATTATCTTCAGTGTAATATGGTCTAGTCTTGTATCACTGACACCTATTTCACTACTGTGCATTGCTGGCACTGAACTAGTAACCACTTTTCAACTAGCCCTATAATCTGTTCCACTATCTTTTTATTACTTAACTCATCAGTCACTGCCCACCAAGGGACACTGAATCAAACTAGAAACACACATTCTCCATCACCTATGCCACAGCTGTCTTTCTAGAAAAGCACTGATATCACAATTCAAATGATCAGCTGAACTGTAACATCCCCATCTACTCCTGAGTGTGTAGGAATGACATCCCACTCCCAGAACTTAAGGCTGGTTAACCAGTTTCCCTGAATCCCTAAATAATTACTTTCCACATTCTATGTTGTTAAATGTTGATGAAGATAGGGAAGCTGTGATTTCGTGTATAGGGCAAGGAAGAATAACATCTTGTAGGAGTGAGGAAGAGCCAGTTGTGAGTGTGGGGGAAGTTCGTGAGGCAGTAGGTAAAATGAAAGGGGGCAAGGCAGCCGGGATTGATGGGATAAAGATAGAAATGTTAAAAGCAGGTGGGGATATAGTTTTGGAGTGGTTGGTGCAATTATTTAATAAATGTATGGAAGAGGGTAAGGTACCTAGGGATTGGCAGAGAGCATGCATAGTTCCTTTGTATAAAGGCAAAGGGGACAAAAGAGAGTGCAAAAATTATAGGGGGATAAGTCTGTTGAGTATACTTGGTAAAGTGTATGGTAGAGTTATTATTGAAAGAATTAAGAGTAAGATGGAGAATAGGACAGCAGATGAACAAGGAGGCTTTAGGAAAGGTAGGGGGTGTGTGGACCAGGAGTTTACAGTGAAACATATAAGTGAACAGTATTTAGATAAGGCTAAAGAGGTCTTTGTGGCATTTATGGATTTGGAAAAGGCGTATGACAGGGTGGATAGGGGGGCAATGTGGCAGATGTTGCAAGTGTATGGTGTAGGAGGTAGGTTACTGAAAGCAGTGAAGAGTTTTTACGAGGATAGTGAGACTCAAGTTAAGAGTATGTAGGAAAGAGGGAAATTATTTCCCAGTAAAAGTAGGCCTTAGACAAGGATGTGTGATGTCACCGTGGTTGTTTAATATATTTATAGATGGGGTTGCAAGAGAAATAAATGCGAGGGTCTTGGCAAGAGTCGTGGAGTTAAAAGATTAAGAATCACACAAAGTGGGAGTTGTCACAGTTGCTCTTTGCTGATGACACTGTGCTCTTGGGAGATTCTGAAGAGAAGTTGCAGAGATTGGTGGATGAATTTGGTAGGTTGTGCAAAAGAAGAAAATTAAAAGTGAATACAGGAAAGAGTAAGGTTATGAGGATAACAAAAAGATTAGGTGATGAAAGATTGGATATCAGATTGGAGGGAGATAGTATGGAAGAGGTGAATGTATTCAGATATTTGGGAGTGGACGTGTCAGCGGATGGGTCTATGAAAGATGAGGCGAATCATAGAATTGATGAGGGGAAAAGGGTGAGTGGTGCACTTAGGAGTCTGTGGTGACAAAGAACTTTGTCCTTGGAGGCAAAGAGGGGAATGTATGAGAGTATAGTTTTACCAACGCTCTTATATGGGTGTGAAGCATGGGTGATGAATGTTGCAGCGAGGAGAAGGCTGGAGGCAGTGGAGATGTCATGTCTGAGGGCAATGTGTGATGTGAATATAATGCAGAGAATTCGTAGTTTGGAAGTTAGGAGGAGGTGCAGGATTACCAAAACTGTTGTCCAGAGGGCTGAGGAAGGGTTGTTGAGGTGGTTCGGACATGTAGAGAGAATGGAGCGAAACAGAGTGACTTCAAGAGTGTATCAGTCTGTAGTGGAAGGAAGGCGGGGTAGGGGTCAGCCTAGGAAAGGTTGGAAGGAGGGGGAAAAGGAGGTTTTATGTGCGAGGGGCTTGGACTTCCAGCAGGCAAGCGTGAGCGTGTTTGATAGAGTGAATGGAGACAAATGGTTTTTAATACTTGACGTGCTGTTGGAGTGTGAGCAAAGTAACATTTATGAAGGGGTTTAGGGAAACCGGCAGGCCGGACTTGCAACATTACTGCAACATTAACACTCCTCTGAAGGAGGGGTGTTAATGTTGCAGTTTAAAAACTGTAGTGTAAAGCACCCTTCTGGCAAGACAGTGATGGAGTGAATGATGGTGGTGAAAGTTTTTCATTTTCGGGCCACCCTGCCTTGGTGGGAATCGGCCAGCGTGATAATAAAAAAAAAAATAAATATTCTATGAGCACATCAAATCCCCTCCCCCAAATATAACACTTATCCCATCACACCCCCACACATGCCTGCTGAATACTCAAGCCCTTACCTCTAAAAACTTCTTCACACCCACCTTCCAACTCTTACTGGAATGTACTATGGAAAATTTTTCCATAGTACATTCCAATAGTTTAATTAGAAACAGAACCAGTGCCATAATTCTATACTGGGGGTTCTCTGGGGTGGTTAATCGCATGGGGAGGAGGCACTAGAAGACTTGTTTTGAAGCAGCATTATTTTTGTTACTATTTTTTATTTGTGGAGGTTTTGGAGAGGCTGAGGGAATTTTCAGGGGGCTCAAGACCCCCCACTGGTTAGAAATGTGAACATGATAAATTTAAGTTTATTTCATTCACTATTTGTTGGCTTACATCACATACTAAGAGTCAAATGGTACAGCATAAATTACACATGAATCCAGGACTAAGTGAGATGTTCCAAGTTAGTTCAGAAGACAGGATAGGGCAAGGCAAATAGACAATTATGTTCAGCTGCACATGCTCACTACTAGGCAATCAAAGGCCACACCCAGAGCAGAATACTAGTATCTTCAGGTAATACTGCATATATTTTGCACCCTTTGACTGTTCCGGTCGTATATATACGTCTTACAAGCCACCGTGTTTGATGTATATATACTCAAATTCTAGCGGCTTCAAATCGAGCAGGAGAAAGCTGGTAGGCCCACATGTGAGAGAATGGGTCTGTGGTCAGTGTGCACCATATAAAAAAAAATCTTGGAGCACGCAGTGCATAATGAGAAAAAAAAACTGACCGTTTTTTTTAATTAAAATGCCAACTTTTGTCTATTTTCGTATAGTATTTATGGTTGTATTCTCGTTTCTTGGTCTCATTTGATAGAATGGAAAACATATTATAGAAATAGAGGTGATTTTGATTGGTTTTACTATAAAAAGAACCTGGAAATGGAACTCAAAGGAAGGGAAATGTTTGATTTTTGCCGATGTTCAAAAGTAAACAAATGATGTCATTGTCCAATAAATGTCCAACTAGCCATTCTAATATGCAGTCATGAATGGGCTGACATTATTTGTACAATTATTACAGTATTGCAGTAGTCTGCGTAACAGTAAATCTTCTATTTTTTGTTTGAATAAAAATTCAAAATAGAAAGCAAGAGTAATATCAGAGGAGCCTGGAGACGTGACTGATGAACAAAGAAAATGTTATTTTAAAGCCAGGAATGTCTGCATTGTTCATTCTGGACCTTATTTTGAAATTGTCTTTTTTTAATTTTCATGAAATTGGCCAAATTGCAAATTTCTGACCAAGTTACTGGGTAGTTGAAATCGATAAATGGGCAGTTTCTTGTACTCAATTGATAGAGAAAATGGAGTTCTAAAGAAACAGCTATGAGTTTGGTCGACTGGAACAATGGAATTAGCCGAAAATAGGGCTCAAAGTGGGCAAAATCGCCGATTTGTAAATATTGCCGAGATCACTAACTTTGCGAGAGCGTAATTCCATCAATTTTCCATCAAATTTCGTCCTTTTAGTGTCATTACAATCGGGAAAAGATCCTCTACCATTTCACAAGAAATTTTTTTTTTTTTTTTTTTTTTTAAATTTTGAGACGCCAGGAGACAACTCAGGATTGGGGGTTGCGACAGTCGAGGGGTTAAAGGTACCCTAATCAAACATAATTAAGTTTGTTAGGAAAATTACAGTCAGGACATACTATAATGTATATACATGAAGGAAATTTATTAAAATATAATTTAACAGATAAACATACCTCATCATAGACATCACAAGCCAGCTCTTCAAATAAATGATTTGGCAATGACTGCAGTTTGACTCTTGCTTCTTTGGCCAGATCTGACATGTCTAATGAGTCGGCCATCTCTGGTATGATCCAGTGCTGGCCAATGCTATGATCTGGTTTACGGCCACACAGGTAGAAGGCCAAACGATCCGTCAACTCATACTGACATTCAATTAAGTGCTCAGCCAAATCCAGATGATTAGATTCACTTGAAAAGAACAAAAAATTAATAAGACTTAATACAAATAAAGATTTAGAGCTATTAACCTTCCGAAAACAATATACAGTACATTTTACATAAAAATCAGTTACAGTACTTATCACTGAAGACTTTTTTTTTTTTAGAAATCTATTGCATTTGATGTCTTTTTGTTATATAGCAAGGTACCCTAAAATTGAAAACAGTACTGTCCAGAGCAAAGCCATTCTTTTATTGTACACTATATTACCTAGCAATTCTAAGAGCCAGAAAAGATTGGAGCATTTAGTGCTTTGTCAAGATGTGTAAATTTTTTTTTTTATTTTAACAAGTCAGCCGTCTCCCACCGAGGCAGGGTGTCTAAATGTAAATAAAAAATTAAGCCTGTTAAATCATTATGAAGAACAAACTAAATATTGCTCTCAGAGAAAAATAAACCTACAAAGCACTTCACTTGCTAAATCCAATCAAGTATAAACAGTGTACTCTGATATACCTTTGACGAGTTTCGAGTTTTACTACCCTCAGAGCCAGGGTACTGTATACTGCCAAACAGTTTCATAAGGAAACCATTTCACTCCCTCTGAGGTCATTTTTTTTTCTTGTAAGATAGAACAATATCATTTATGAAAACAAGTAAAGAATGAGAGAAACCACTTTCTGTGCAGATTTTTTCACATGAACAGAAGTTTAGTCATGCAGGTGGATGAAACCTCACCTAGCACTCAATAATGGAATATGTATCTATACAGTAAACCTTCTTATAACACACACGTTATATTTCTGAAAAATCAGCACAATTTTAAATCTCACTGCATGGATAAAACAGGGTTACATTTTTGGACAATTCAAAATTTGCTTAAAAGAATTTTTATTTTTTACCACTGTACTAGGTCAAAATTACAACAGCATACCTTAACTTCACTTTGAAAGTGGGAAAAAAAAAAAAAAAAAAAAAAAAATGCAGAACAGTGTAATCCTTCATTGATGTCTCACCAACAAAGTAGACTTGATAAATTCAGATAAACATGGAGAGGGAAGAAGAGCCTATATATATCGAGAACACAGTGAGGTAAAGTGTCAAGTTGTGATGAAGCTAAAATGTTGGGTAGCTTTAAAAGCAGTTTGGGAGATGGCTAGGAAAAAAAAAAAAAAATTAACTGCATACCTGGCATAGTGTGCAGGAGTATTGCCTTGTGAGTCCTGTGCTCCAGGGTCACCTCCATATATCATTAATAGTTCTACTTGAGATGCTTGCCCAGCCCGAGCAGCAACATGTAATGGACAGCAACATTTTTCCTGAGGTAATGAACAAATCACTAAGACAAGAGATTATAAAAAGTTTCTTGACATATTATATTAACTTGGTTTCAAAATAATATTTAGCTTTCAATTTTTTTTTTAACACAGCTGTATACCACTGAGGCAGGGTGACCCAAAAAGAAAAGAAAAGAAAAAAAAAAAACTTTCATCATTCAACACTTTCCTCATCATTCATACGTAATCATTGTCTTTGCAAAGGCAATCAGACAACCGTTTATATGTCACTCCAAACAGCTGATATCCCAAACCCCCCTCCGTAACCCCTTCAGGGTCCAAGGCTAAAATCTGAAGTGGTGCTCCAGTGTCCAAGAAATTTTTGGAAAAAAAAAAAAAAAAAAAAAAAATTCTTACAGAATTAAAGAGTATATTTTTGTGAAGGTAATAAGAAAAAAAAATTCTGATCAGTACTTACCGAGACACAGTGCTGAGAAGTTTACCCCAAATGACGTGGTGGTGGCAACAGCGACGATTTCCACATACGCGCATTACTTTGTTTACTGTTTTTTGTAGTTTTTTCTTTTCTAATTTTTTTCTTTTCCTACTAACATTTGGGGCCTGAGAGACCAATACTGTATATAATGTATATATATATATAAACTCACTGTATTGAACACAATAACCGCACTAAAGTTATCATCATATTATTGTTTACCACTGTTGTTTATTACAATAAACATGCACAATCTTGTATAATACTAATGTTCTATCATATATTTACATATTTACAATCACTGGACATGGTTTTAGAACTGCTGGAGCTTGTGGAACTCCTTGAAACAAGGCACCATGCACAGAGGCACCTTACATTCCTCACACATAAACCGAGTGTCTTTGCGTCTTTGTTGCCGTCGTTTTATTTGTGCACAGACGATGCATCTCTTCTGAGCAAATTTCTTCTGAGTTGAAGGAAGCTGTATTATGAAATGATCACCTTCCCTCCTCAAACGCTTGGGTATATCCTGAGGAATTCGAGGACCTTGTTGTATAGCAGGTGTTGTTACCTGGTACTTCATTATGAGTTGTCTGACAACAGACAAACAAAATTCACCATATGGTGGTCTGTTGCCAATCTTCAATTGGTACATATTATATGCATTGAGCATTGAAATGTCCATGAGATGGAAGAAAAGTTTCGTGTACCAGTTGTAACTTTTACGAACACAATCAACAATGCCAATCTGCATGTCACATTTGTCAACCAAGCGCATGTTTTGTGTATAATCAATCACTGTCATTGGTTTTCGAATACATTCATTAGTCACTCGATCAACTTTGCCACTGTCTTGCATTTCATTATGGTGAATGGTTGTCAACAATGTGACATCTCGTTTGTCATGCCACCGTAATGCCATGATGTCATTGGCAGTAAACACCTGCACGTCATCACCATGAGCACCTGCGTTGAGCCTGGGCATATGTTTACGATTAGAACGCACTGTGCCACACACATCTGTCTTGTTCACTCAACAGAAATCACTGAGTAATGGGCTTGTGTACCAGTTATCGGTATATAATGTATGTCCCTTACCAAAAAAAGGGCCATCAGCTTCTCACTACGTCACCTGAGAACCCAAAACTCTTGGTACCCTTTCAATGTTTTTTTCCCCCATTATACAACAATTCCAATACCGGGCCCCTGTCACAGCCCAGGTACAAACATTTTATCCAAAAGGTTTTTCCTTTTCCCGGGTAATACTGTTTTGAATGACAGCCACCTTTGAGAAAATAAAAAGATCTTCAATTAAAAGTTCTTGACTGGAAAAAGTACATGCTGAACTTCTTTTGAGATACATAAAAACTTTTAATCTTGAATAACCTGTCATTTCTTCAGGCCTGGTTTTTTCAAAAGTCCCCAAAAAAAAACGTAAGAAAAACCTGTTCACGGGTGATTTCACGAAGACCAGGTAGAAATTAGCCGATTTTGGGGGACCAGTAGCTTTTATATTATGCTTATGCTGAGGCATAAACATTTTGTTTCAAAAAGCAAAAAACATTTTTGCAAAATCGTCTCTTTCCCCCCGTGTAGTCTTGACGTGGGGAAGTCGATTTGCCATGGGGTATCAAAAATTTTTTTACTTTTCCCCAACAATATTTTTTATCAATGGGTGGTCAAAGAAAGTTTTAAGAAATTCCGTTCATTTGCAGTGTTTCCAAGGACAAGTTGGGGAGAATTTCCCTTTCAAGTCATCAAAGTGGTGGGGCTTGGGAACAAAATTGGGATTTTGCTGCCCCAAACCCAAACGGTTTTTTCTGGTTGGTACTGGACATCAAAAGGTGGTTTTTGCGGTAGTTTTGGTTTTTGGTGGGCTGGTGGCTGACGCCCGCTTGTCCTTGAACGCGGACAGCAGCGGGGTCCCAGCCTGGGCTGGCGAGTCACGCAGCCGTGGGGGACTACCAACACCACTCCACCATCTACTATGCCTGGGTCTTTCCCTGCCCAAATGTACCCCACATCATCCTCATATCACTATTTACCGGTGTAGGGGCCAAAGGGGTGTCTCCGTCCCCGGGCACGGCATAGGGGACACTAAAGAGGCATGCGGCGGCTAAAAAACCGACGCTTCCGGTGAATATATTCCCCTACACTACTCAATGATCCTCAAAGCAATAAAATGACAATCCCGTCACTATCATCATGAAGCGAGGCCTGGCCACGCAAAAAAAAAAAGTTTCTCTTGCGTTGAGGACAACGACCGTGACTGACGAGTGCCCACACCGAGGTAGAAGGCGAGGAACAGGTTTTCTGACTATTATCGATTTCCCCGGTCATTCCTTTTGGGCCCCAAATGATCAAAGCCAAAGAATTCGTCTTCATTTCCACTTCCATCACTGTCAGAACTATCAGATAGGAACAGGAGAGTCCCAATTTTCCTTGGAGTGAGAGCTGCCTTGCGACGAGGCATGGTGAACAAGGGTAACTGAGCCGGCGTTCCCACAATGCTATGTGGGCGCCTAGATTTTTTGTTTATAGCGCACACCCACCACGCAGACCCTTTCTCTCACATGTAGGCCTATGAGCGTTTTTGTGCTAAATTTGACGGTGCTAGAATTTTGGCATAGATCTACGGTTTGGACACAACGTGAAGCCGTAGATTTACGGGATGGACCCTGAAAGGGTTAAATATGCAAGCACTGTACTTCCCACTTCCAGGACTCAAGTCTGACTAACCAGACTTTCAAATGTCGATAAAAATAAATACACCTACCATCCGACTTACGACCTGCTCGACTTACGACCACTCGACTTACGACCGTGTTTTTTATGCCAAATTTCTGGGAAATAAACAACTATTTGTGTTGTACACAATGTTTATCCTAAACCTTACAGTATAAAATACAGTACTAACAACATAAGAAGTAAAGTAAAACATGAAATACCAAAATTAAACAAAAATGTTTTGTTGATATTCAGTAGTAAAGTTCGGCTTACGACCGGTTTCTCGGAACCGAACTCGGCCGTAAGTCGGATGGTAGGTGTATAAAGATATATATATATATATATATATATATAATATACTACCGTTCAGGGAGGTACTACTGTCCTGCCAAGTGAGTGTAAAACAAAAGCCTGTAATTGTTTTACATGATGGTAGGATTGCGGGTGTCCTTTTTTCTGTCTCAAAACATGGAAGATTTCAGGTATGTCTTGCTACTTCTACTTACACTTAGGCCACACTACACATACATGTACAAGCATATATATATACACACACCCCTCTGGGTTTTCTTCTATTTTCTTTCTAGTTCTTATTTCCTCTTATCTCCATGGGGAAGTAATAGAATTCTTCCTCCGTAAGCCATGCGTGTTGTAAGAGACAACTAAAATGCCTGGAGCAAGAGGCTAGTAACCCCTTCTCCTGTATATATTACTAAATGTAAAAGGAGAAACTTTCATTTTTCCTTTTGCGCCACCCTGCCTCGGTGGTATATGGCCCGTGTGTTGAAAGAAGAAACATGGAAGATTTCAGGTACGTCTTGCTACTTCTACTTACACTTAGGTCACACTACACATGCATGTACAAGCATATATGTATATACACACCCTTCTGGGTTTTCTGCTATTTTCTTTCTAGTTCTTGTTCTCGTTTATTTCCTCTTATCTCCATGGGGAAGTGGAACAGAATTCTTCCTCCAAAAGCTATGCATGTTGTAAGAGGCGACTAAAATGCCGGGAGCAAGGGGCTAGTAACCCCTTCTCCTGTATAAATTACTAAGTTTGAAAAGAAAAACATTTGTTTTTCTTTTTGGACCACCCTGCCTCGGTGGGATACGGCCGCCGGTTTGTTGAAAGAAGATATATATATATATACTCTATGTATTTTCCACATGGAAGTAGAACAGAATTCTTCCACCATAAGCCAAGTGTCATGGGAGGCGGCTAAATGCCAGGAGCATGGGGCTCGTAACCCCTTCTCCTGCATACATTTACTAAATTTAAAAAGAAAAACTTTTGTTTTTCATTTTAAGTCATCTTGCCTTGGTGGAATATGACCAGTTTGATGAAAAAAATAATTATATATATTTATATGTATATATTCTTGTTTCAACAAACCAGCCGTATCCTACAAAGGCAGGGTAGCCAAAAAAGAAAAAAGTTTCTCTTAATTTTAATGTATACAGAAGAAAGGGTTACTAGCCCCTTGATCCCAGCATGTTAGTTGCCACAATGTCAGTCTGGGGGTGCCCAAGGAACAGTGTCTGTCCAGGGGATAATCAGGGAACGGTGTCAATCCGGGGGGAACCCAGGGAACACTGTCAGTCGGGGGTTACCAAGGAACGGTGTCAGTCCGGGGATGAGGGAGGACCAAGGAACGGAGTCAGTCCAGGAGGGGGGGAGAGAGCCAGGGAACAGTGTCAGGCTGGGAAGGGGGGGCACCCAGCAAACGATGTGTCAGTCCGGTGGAGGCGCCAGCGAACGGTGCCAGTCTGGGGGATGGGGGTGCCCAGGAACAGTGTCAGTCTGCATGGCAGGGAGC